CATGTGTAGGGGCATCCAAATGTGTAAGGCTATTAGAAACCAAAAAAATAAAGGAATGGGATAGCTATAATTGGATAAATTCGGCATATGAAAACACCAAAATCAATGATTTTTTTCAGTGGCTGTGTGACCTTGTGTCTGACACATTCATATGCAAATGACTAATCTGTGAAACAAACAGGGGCGGAGACAAACCACTCGAAGGTTTGGAAACACTCATTGTGTGTCAGATAGCTACTGATAACACATCCTAACATTGCTTTGTCTTGAGTTTATCTTTGAAACTTATAGGCACACAGATTAAACCTGTATTGTTGATTTTGGAAAACACTACTGAGGCTGCCTTGCTTCCCTTCAGAAAATATACATTTTAACCAACTTACATGACATTCTATGTTATGTTGACTTTATCATATGAAAGTTTATAGTGCATTTCATCAATTAATAAATAAATGTGAAAATCGTAATTTTCAACACAAATAATAGTCTCGCTACCTTAAATCGATATACTTGGGTGGGAAACGAAAGTAAATCTTGAATAGATGCATTCTTTATCACAAAGTCTCTTTCTTCCAGAATCAGACATGCATCCATAAAACCGCATTTTGTTTTCTCAGATCACTGTATAGTTAAGTTATGTATCGCTTTCAAGCAGATTAATAATCGTAATCCTGTGTGGTGCTTTAATCTAAGTCTGTTGCACGACAAAGAATATTGTACAATAATACACGAATACTGGGTGTCGTGGCGTAAAGAGAAAACTCGCTTTACGCCCTTACAAATGTGGTGGGACATCGGGAAACTCAAAATAAAGGAACTGACTAAACAGTATACTGCTAAACTTAGTAATAATTACAAACAAATGAAGCACACACTATCTGCAGACATCGCACTCATTGAACAGCAAAATATGAACAATAACAATCCACCATATAATAAATTGACTAAAGATAAAAAGACACTACTTGGAAATCTCGTTAAAACAGAAACCAAAGGTGCGGCTATTAGATCACGTCATAAATTTCTAAACGAGAGTGATGCACCAACTTGTTTTTTTTTATATTGAGATAAATAGAGGTAGCCGAACTGAAATGAGATTCGCCATCTTGCGCATAGTTTTTATTCTGATCTGTTCTCGCCAGATCCTGTCTCTGTTGAATGTCAAAACAAAATTCTGGAAGATCTTCCTTAACTTGACGATGATTTGAGAGATGACTGTGACTCTCCCGTGTCTTTTGATGAGCTTTCTTTGGCCTTTTTTGAGCTTTCTGTCTAGTGGTAGGTACCCGGGTATCCGAAGAATTTTACAAACATTTTTGGCCAGTTCTTGGTAAAGATGTCTTTAATGTTTTCCAAGCCTCAATCGAGGATGGGCAACTTCTTTTGTTTTGTCGCCATGCTGTCATCACTCTCCTACTAAAGAAAGGTGACAACACATCACTTAAAAATTGGCGACCTGTAAGTCTCTTATGTGCTGATTACAAAATACTTACTAAAGCACTCTCCATCAGATTGCGTTCAGTAATCGGTAATGTCGTACACACTGACCAATCATATTCTATTCCTGGTAGATGTATTTTTGACAATACTCACCTGGTTCGTGATGTCATAACATATTCAAATACTAATAATATACCACTTGGTATTGTTTCTCTCAACCAGGAAACAAGCGTTTGATAGGGTACACCATGGATTCTTAAAACACTTGAAGCTTTTGGTTTTGGCGACCAATTCGTTAAATACACTGCATATGACTGGTCAATCGCGATATGTATTGAGTACTAGTATTT